CCCCAAAACCCCAAAACCCCAAAACCCCAAAACCCCATAAGTGGAACGTTTGGTTGATAATAGAAAAATATGTGGACAATACCAAGAAAAATGGCACTGAAGAAGTTCTGAATTAAGGATACACAAGATAGAGAGAGTCAGCAGGTGTGTCAAGTTTGGGTCTGGGTTTATTTTATTAATACTTCCTGACCGAGGGTGAATGCGATGTCTTCGTCATTGGCAGACACTATGTCGAGAATTTCACTAGATCCCTGAAAGGAAGCACCTACTTTGGAAAGGCTCCCCTCCTCAAGAGATGCCCAAGGACTGCACCTGTGATAAGTAAATAACTATTTTTAAACCCTTCTAATCTGCTCAATATAGCGATGAACAGACAAATCAGGAGGAACCCCAGCAAGGTTGTCACTGAAGCAGATTTAGACGAATTTAGAGCGTAGGCTTTGTTCAGGAGTTTGAATTGGAAACGAAATGAGGGAAATTAAGTTTTGAAGGACGCTGAGAGTGTTTTAGACATTTTTGGGTGAATAGGAGATTGCCTGCTTATATTTCTTAATAGATTTCCTCTTTGGTGATAAAGTTTTTGCATTCAGTCATCTGGATCAATATTCTCAGTATTTTTCTCGACCTTTTGAACCCTCGATGGCATTTTAATTGAAGATTTTTGCCTATGAAGTCCAATTTTCTTGCTAGAAGGTCAAATAGACTGCTTTGGTTTATTCTTGATGTCTTTCAAAGCCATAGAAGATTTCTTACCTATATCTTCATATTCAAAGACACCTCGATAAGCCGATTTCTGCTTAGTTATATATTTCTTGTACTTCTCTTTTGTCCGATTTGGCAGAATTTTTGGGTCGCCAACTAAAGGATGTTCAGCAATCTCAATATTTTCAAAATCTTGGCTCTGTTTGGGTAAATTCTTGCTTTTGTCTGTATCTTTATTTGGCAAGACAAGGTTGCTGGTACTTTTCGAAGACTTTATCAACTTGAGACTTTGGCCAATTTTGTTAGGCAGATTATTGGTTTTGCTCATATCCTGAGCTCTCTTGTTGCTATTTCTCACAGTATTGGGAGGATTTGGATCATTTTGTGGATAATCAATAATTGAATGAACTGGGCCATCACTCTCTTTTCAGCCAGCATGTCGAGAATCTGAGGTAAGTTATCTATTTTGTCTCAATTAAGCAACTTTGGGAAAAAGTCTGCTGTCTTAGAGTCTTGCTGCATTGAGGAATTGCTCTCAAAATCGAGAAGCTGACTAGTTTGGCTTAAACTTTCTTCATGAGCTGGGTGAATACAAATTGAATCTTTCTCAAGCGCTCTCATAAATTTGCTGTTCAGCAGTGTGGGAATATTGCTCCCTTTAGGGAAATTTCAATCAAGCATATCCAATCTTTTACGTTCCTTTATCATCAGGAGATCGTCATGCTGATCATTCAGCATTTTTATTGCTTCCTTGTGATATTCTTATACACGTATCTCCTCTCGTCCAGGTCAATATAATTGGGGAATACTGTGCAGTATTTGTTGTAGTACTCTGTAAGGTTGCTAATCTTACCCTTGCACTCTTCAGCGGTGTAATACTTCCTCATGAAGTCAACCATATAATCTTGAAGGAGATAATCTTTGAAAATAGCCACAATTCTGGTAGTCTCATTTCCAATAATATCATTTACCACCTTTCAATTGTGAGCGTTCGTTGAAGTTGCGTACTTCTGGGCTAATATCTGTTGGCAAGTAAGTGACTTATAAGTTGTCTGGGAGAGATCCTCAGCTACTAATGCAGAGCTTGCCAGCTCTATGAGGGGCATATCTGTACTAGAATTAGACTTATAACTTACTGAGAGGTATTAATAATATTCCTCTTCAACTTCTGTTTGAGGTTTTCTCACAAGCTCTCTTGCTGACTATTTTCAGGATAAATTATTGAATTTATCGGAAATGCATGGAAAACATTCGAGGATTGGTCGTCATCATTTGATTCTTCTCTCTTCGTAGACTTTTTTGTGATATATTTTTTCCGATTTTTCCTATTGTTCCACTTATTCATGATGATTTTTAGAAAAATTTATATTTAATGGAAATCAATTCAGCGGCCACTGTTTGGGGTTTTGGGGTTTTGGGGTTTTGGGGTTTTGGGGTTTTGGGGTTTTGGGG